AAAAAAATCATATCATTGTGAATGAGGGGGAGTGCAGAGTGGAGACCCAAAGCCCATCTGTAGGCATCTGGACATCCCCTGACAGAAGGGTCACGGGGAGATAACCAGCCAGTCAGGGTGCAGTGTAGCATCGATGAAACATACAACTTTCCTCTAGTTCTTTAATGCTCCCCTCCCCACTATCATGATCCTAATTCTACCTTACAACTACAGCTACACCAGAGCATGTACATGGGTACAGATAAGAGCTGGAAACACAGGGAATCAAGGACAGATAACCCCTCACGACCAATATTGAGAGTAGCCATACCAGAAGGGGAAGGGGAAGGTGGAGGGAGAAAGGGAGAACTGATCATAATGATCTATGTATAACCCCCTCCCAGGGGGACGGACAACAGAAAAGTAGGTGAAGGGAGACATTGGTCAGTGTAATACATGAAAAATAACAATTTATAAATTATCAAGGGTTCATGAGGGAGGGAGGGTGGGTGTTGGGAGGGGGTAAAAAAGAGAAGCTAATACCAAGGGCTCAAATAGAAAGAAAATGTTTTGAAAATGATGATGACAAATGTAAAATTGTGCTTGGCACAATGTATGTATGTATGGATTATGATAGGAGTTGTAAGAGCCCCCAATAAAATTATTTAAAAAAAAGTAAGTTTCAAGCAAATGAAAAATATGTACTATCAGTTTACATGCTTGTCTATGACTAAAAAGAAAAGGCTAAATTTCAAAACTCAAATATATATACATAGATCTATGTCCCCATCATTTTAGGTAAATATATTTACATAAGTATGTGCTTGTATTTATAGCTCTATAAATGTCCTTTGCCTCCTAGTTCTTTCCTCTATTTCTTTGTACTTTCCTCTTGTCCCACTAGCATGCTCAGCCTTCATTCGGCTTTCAGTATTTCCTCTGGGCTACATTGCACTTTATCATACCCCACCTGGTACCGAATACAAAATTTAATTGGCTCTGATTTATTTGATATTTTCTAGAGACAAAATTATACAAAAAGGAAGATGTGTGTAGTGAGAATTCAGTTGATAGTTCAGATTCATATGAAATATTAGGTCTGCCTCATTTATCTTTTCTTAATTTCAGAGCTGCAGCCTCAGTAAGGAGCAGGGTATTAAGTTCTTTCAATGTAATCACCCTTATATTTAAAGATTTATAATGATTGGTTGTTGACATATCAGTTCCAAATCTATTGTATTTGTTCAAATAAAAGCAGACAATTTCATCTGGCTGCACTGAAGTGATACTCCAGCAATAAGTCACTTCAGTCAAAATAGGAAAACAGATTACCTACAGATTGGCCAGATGGTGATGTGACTGGGCCACTCGGTAGGAGGGTTTAGAGCGTTAAATTCCATTATTATTGTTGGTCTTAATCTCACTCACTCACAGCCAGTAAGTCTATTCTAACTCATAGCAACCCATAGGGCAGGGTAGCAGTGTACATGTGTTTTCCCAAGATTGTAACTCTACAGGAGTAGATAGCCTTGTCTTTCTCCTGTTTGTTGATCTTAATAACCAGTTTTTTAATCACAGTTTGGTTTGATTCTCTCAGAATCTGATAATATTGGTTTAAGAAACATTATCCTTACAAAACTTAACGTAAAGCCTTACAGAGTCATATGTATTCAATTAATTTCATCTTGAACCCACATAGTTCTTTTCAGCTATTTCCTTCTGCCCTGAAAATGTGAGAACAAGCCTTCTAAAAGATAAGGAATGGCAAGGATTGTCTTTCTACCCCAAAAGAAATCATGATCAGACAGGCTCCAGCAGCCTCTCCTTAATAATCGGTAATTGCCCTGTCATTTTTCTCGTACTAAAAGAAAACTGTAAATATTATTCCTAGACTGGATTTCAAATGTTCTAAACTAAGTCTAAAAGGTTTACTCCCCCTTTGGCGGGGAGCTGTTGTTTATGAGCATATTAACACAACACTTCTGCAGGGGGCATACCTTCTAGGTGTGTCTCTAAAGAGGTAACTGCTAATTTCAGCTCCGTCTGGAATGACTGAAGAATCATGAAAAAATGCTTTGTCCCGGATCTGCATTTGAAACAGTTCCTCATCCCGAGTAGGTAACTTCTGGGTCCTTGAGCTGAGTGGTACCAGCAGCCACAGCAGACACCAGTGAAGCAGCACCATCCTAGGACAACAGAAATGATTGCTTACATTAGTTCTGCGGGTAGACACTGAAGCAAGCTGCAAACTTCCTAAAGGGCTAGTGCTAGCTTAGCTTTGACTGGAATTTCTAGATGGATCACATGTTTTGGATACATGCACATGAACTTGAAGCATCTTTTCTGATTTTATTTTCTTCAGACTATTTTATGAAGTTGAAATGAATTCACAAGAATTTAAGATGCTAGAAAGATTTTGAGCTGAAGGAATCTTGGTGAATTGACGCCTGTGGGTATTACAGAGAAAGGTCCCACTTTGTTATAGAAGAAGCCTATACGGTCATCGCAGACAGCTTTACACCAGTGTCTCTGAGATTGAACTAAAATGAGTATTGAGTTTGTTCTCCCAATAGTTATGAAAGCTATGCCCATAGTTCATTGGAACCACTGCTCAATAGTCAGGTCAGTAATTTTTGACATCCGAAATGATTATTACATTTACTGTAAGCGATAAAGACCACTGAGAACCGTAAAACTACCACTGGGAAAGCATCCTTACTTTTCCTTAAAATGTGAGTAGGGATTATGCTATCTATTCTGTATTATACAAACTTGCAAATCCAATAGTCATGAAAAAAGAGATTTCTATACATTAAAATTTTCAACACCTTCATATCAGTTTGTCCAAAATCACAAGATAAGTTATATGTTGATGTCTAAAAGAATATATGCATCAGTCTGGATTGCCTCAACATAATCGAAGAAGAAGAAGGAGAAGGAGAAGGAGAAGGAGAAGGAGAAGGAGAAGGAGGAGAAGAAGGAGAAGGAGAAGGAGGAGGAGAAGGAGAAGGAGAAGGAG